CCAGGCGGTGCCTGTGGGTGCAGGATGAGTCCCCACGGGGAATGCGGGGCGCGCTGCTGAGCAGAGGTGTCCCACAGGCAACCCACCCCCCCCCAACTCTGAGCGCGAGGAGCCGGCAACGCACCTGCGCCGAGAAGCCACAGAAAAAGCCAAACCAGAAGTGGACCATGGTGAAGGCGAAGTTCTTGTAGAAGAAGTAGCAGAGGAACTTGCACATGCGTAGGTAGGACCAGCGCCCGTGCACCAGGAGCAGGCGCTGCAGGAACTTGAACTGGGAGAAGGAGTAGTCGGAGGCCAGCACCGCCTGGATGCCCTCCTGCCCACTGATTCCCACCCCGATGTGGGCGGCTGAGGAGGGAAGAGACACAAGGAGTGAGGAGCGCTCTGCCAGGAGCACAGGGGACTGGGGCAGCACCCCTCCATGGGATTGTGGTCCTGCAGGGCACGGAGGGGCGAGGACAGAGGCTGCCACGGGCCCCAGGATGGTGCAAGTGGGGGACCCGTCCCTCCTGTGGCTCCCCAGAGACCCCAGCACTTACTCTTGATCATGCTGACATCGTTGGCCCCATCCCCAATGGCCAAGGTCACAGCTTTCTTGTACTTCTTCACCAGCTCCACCACCTGGGCTTTCTGCAAGGGCGTGACGCGGCAGCAGATGACAGCCTTGCAGGCACACGCTGTCTCCAGGAATTCCACCTCCATGTCAGCCTCCAGCGCATGGGCCTGCGAGGAGAACAGGGGGGGACAGTGGGGGGCATGGCCCACGGCAGGGCATGGTGCCCCATCCAACCAGTGTTCCCAGGTCCCTACCAGGCTGTGCCCATTGATGACCAGGGCGTATTCGCCTGCAATGGCTTCCAGCACAGAGGTGAGCTTGGAGGAGGAGAGTTTCTCCTGGTAGGAGAAACCGTTGCCCATGGAGCGTGACGCATCCATCATCTTCTCCCGGGCTTTCCTGAGGAGACAGAGATGGGCCAGGGGGCCCCGATTCAGGGCACTTCCCTATCCCCCTGCTCCCCCAGGCGCAGCCGTGTCCGACGCCGGCCCTGCGCGTGTCCTCTGCCCTCACCTGAGCTCCTCTCGCACCTCCAGCACAGTGTGGCCCGTCACCACAAACACCTCCGTCATGTCGTCCGTCAGCATCTTGCAGGAGTAGCCAATGTTCACAGCCGTTTCTGGGGACAGGAAAGCAGGGACTGAGCCAGGGTCAGCTCAGGGGGGAGCATCTGTCCCACCACCCCCCAGGCAGGTGGGATCCACCCCACAAATGTCCTCATCTCCAGCCAGCCCAGACCCCCACCCCGGCGATGCCTCACCCTGTTTGTCCCCCGTCAGCACCCAGATTTTGATGTTGGCCAGCGTCAGGATGGCGATGGTTTCGGGGACCCCCTGCTGCAGTTTGTCCTCAATGGCTGTGGCTCCAAGCAGCTGGGGGGACCCAAGCAGGCGGGCGGGTCAGCAGGGGCTGCCCCCCAGCCACCTCATAGAATCACAGAATCATAGAATTGCTTTGGTTGGAAGAGCCCTTTAAGATCATCGAGTCCAACCGTTAACCTAACCCTGCCATCCCACCACTAAACCCTGGCCCTCAGCACCTCATCTCTCCTCCTTTTAAATCCCCCCAGGGATGGGGACTCGACCACCTCCCTGGGCAGCCCCTTCCAGAGCCTGACAGCCCTTTCGGGGAAGAAGTTTTTCCCAATCTCCAACCTAACCCTGCCCTGGCACAACTTCAGACCATTCCCCCTCGTCCTATCGTCTGTTACCAGGGAGAAGAGGCC